ACGATTTGTGGCATTTAATCATCATCTTTATTGCAGAATTAAATCTTATATCTTGATGAAATACCAAAATTATGTATATTTCTATTATCATGTCAAATACAAAATAACTACCTTTTTCAACTTTATTGAATTTCTAAATTTAAATAGATTTTTACTTCATCACAAACTATGGATCTGGTTTCACATTCAACAATAAGTAGGTAAGAAATTGTGTTCATGCCACAAAGAAATATATTCACATCCGGTAACTTAACCTAAAAGAGATACAATGGTTGTTTTTTGCTAAAAGCAATTCATGATTGGATTATCACTGATGAATAATCGCTTTAGTTAATGTTATTAAAGGAACCATATGTTTGCTATAGCTAGACAAAAATATAATGATCAGAAAAATATTGCAATTGATTCAATAACAGTAGATATATCTAGTAACATATTTGTCGCAGTTTTGATTGAAAGTTTCCTCTAGGGAAATAAAGATGTAGATTTGCAAGACTCTGTATGTTCATAACTTCCCTTTACAGGAAACCATATATTGTTATCTCAGTGTAGGGGATATACAGTATAGACAAGCTGATATTCATTCATCATTCTATCTGTTTGATACTGCATATGATTGAAAAAGTTCATATTTCAATTTATTTTGCTGTGTGGTGAAAAATGTGTACCTGATGTCATTCAAAGTGTGTTTATACTTCACCATTGATCTTACCAAAATTGTAAAATGTTTTCCTAAATACAGATAACATTGGTTATTATCTCATCTGTCCAAGGGCCGTAGAATATCTATTAGGATTGTCTTGTGTAAAACGTTGATTCGTAATGTCATAAATCAAGAAACAAGGCTTTTGTATTTGAAAAACTCATCAAAAATATATTCTTTTTCTCGACTACTAAATATACAGGGTGGTCCAAATAATGGGACACTCATATTTCAAAAATAAATCTTGTTGATTTTATTGATGAATACATCATGTTATATACCAGTAAATAGGGAATTCTATTATATTTAATTTGGTATATCATAAGTTCAAATTCATTATAATGCCTGTCAACCAGCGTCTATAATATAAATGATGTCATTTTTTTCAAAACTGTTTTTCAAAAACCAAATTTTTTATCAACATAATAGATGTTCCGTTTGTTCACCATTTTTATATCAATTATAGCCCTCATTCTTGGCATAAACTTGTTGAGAGCATCATTGATTCATTGATATGCTTTTGAAATAATGAATTTCACTGCTCAACAATTCTGTGCTTAAGGGACTGAATAGATAGAGGGGTTCTTGATATAGCCAAGAAGAATTGTTCAAACATATCAAGACAGCTCTTAGAAGACTGGAAACACCCCTGTTTGTGAACATTTTTGAATCATATCATCGTAGAATTGAGGCTGTTCAAGCTGCTTGGGGGAAACATTCAAACTATTCAAAATGTGAAATATGGCCATCACTAAAAATGCTCAAAAAAATTTGGAATCATATCACTCTGAATTCTTGTGTGTGATCAGCAAATTGAATTCCCTTTAAGATGATATGTTATTTCTAAATTTAAAAGTTAAGGGGAGAACAGACCTATTTGACACCCTGTACTAAGTTTCATTGGTCTATTTCTAATGGCCATGATTTTTAGGCCATTTTAAAAAACATGCTCCAAATGCAAAAAATCACTTGATATGAATCGAATCGATACGAACCCCACTCTCAGAAAGATGACTTTTTTTCCATAATCAATGAATCGCACATTTATACTAGGTATTTGATGAGTGTACATACTATATTCTGTTATTTGATTGGTTTGTTGAAACTGTTGCTGTCATGCAAACCCCCCCCCCCCTTTCACTAAAAAATTGAACGCCTTGATAAATCCTGGCTACATCCTTTGAGAATCATTTTAGAGTTGAAACAAGAGATAAGAAGGATGATTAGAGATGTTTGTGAGCATGTACCATGGAATCATGTGGTACCATGGACCATGTGGTAATCAGAACAAATTCAAATTAGCCTCCACAGATGAAAGCGGCATTTTGAGGATGTTTTGTAAAATAGCCATAAGATTGTGGTTATTTGAAATAGACCAATGAAACTTGGAAGAATAAAAGATCATTGAACAAAGTTTAATTGTGCTAAATATGATTCTAAACCATGCTTAGTGACTTGGTTATAACCATTTCTTTGGGTTCCATTTTTTGGCTCGCCCTGCACTCCCACATCATCACATACCGGTATGTTGCATATTGCAGTTTGTATCAAAAACATTCCAGTTTCTTCGAAACTTACCTGGCAGAGAAGCATCAAAACATAAGAGCCCACACATATGATAGCCAAAATATACATTCAAAGTTGTTTCTGGAATTATGAAGCTGACTGTATTTGTAGTTGATACTGTGTATTAATGATGTCACATATGCCTAACTCATTTAAATTTGGAAGAAATAAATCATAGTGGCACCATGTTATGGTAATAAATAAAACCATAATACTTCAGCTTCCCATTGACTCAAGTACAATTGCTTCACAGGGTATTTTTATAATGCTGTCTCTTATGCCATCTTTTATAAAAAGAACAAATTTTTCCTTTTAATCCATATAATATATTAGTAGCTCACATCATTTATATTTCCTTTGGTTTAGCACAAACTATAATGTAGTGTAATCAGCCTTACCTTTGGTCGGAATTTGCCCAAAAAAAGTCCCAAAAATATTTCAGTTTGTTTTTCTGTTTTATTTGCCAGATAGCAGTATGACATCTACTACCACTACCACGCTCTCTGTTTTTTGTGATGGTGGTTGGTGGTTGGCATCTGTAACAAATTCTAAAAACTTTCAATAACTTAAAAAATACTGTTTAGACTGACTTCAATTATTTTCAAAATCACCTACAAGTTCTCGGAAGATCAAATCTGACTTTAGATGTGAGATTTGAGCTTCAGTGATCCTCTCAAGGTCAAACAAGAGTCGAAAGGTATTTTTCAACTTGTTTCAAAATCATCTCCATGATATCAGAATTTCAAATCTGACTAGATTTGAAATTTGACCTTTAATGAACATTTCAAGATCAAAAAAGGTCAAAAGGTCTTTTTTCAACTTGCTTCAAATTGGCTCGATATTTTTCAAAATCATATACAAGATCTCAGAAATTCAAATCTGATTTTTAGATTTAAGACTTGACCTTCACTTACCCTCTCAAGGTTAAAAGGTCAAAAAGGTATTTTTTCAAATTGCTTCAAACTGACCAATTTTTTTCAAAATCATCTACAAGTTCTCAGAAGTTCAAATCTGACTAAGATTGAATGATATTGTGAGCAACTATGGTGGTGACGTTAATGTCTTGTATGAATTATGGCATCAGCTTTTCAAAAGGGTGCTGACCCTTTGATACTCTCATGGACTTTCAGACTGGATTTTGTCTGTCCAACATCATGATCATTTGAGGCTGAATGCTCTATGTATTTCACACTTTAACTATTCAATCAAGCAATTTGATTTAAAGACAATCAATTTAATCATGTTTGAAATTGATATTCAATTGAACAATTATTAGACTTGTCAAATAATGCAAATTTATTTTGAATATTTTCCATATTTTTGTCTTATAGCTCATCTCTGATCATACAAGATGTCTGCCACTGCAAAAGAAGAAATGAGGAAGGTTGTGGACAATTTAAGGTATCAGGCCAAGTACAAGGCATCAGGATCTGTGCATAAAAGTATCAGTGAGCATATTGATTTCATCATGAAGACTCAAGGTTCAGATGGTCTTGTGATGGGCATCCCCAAGAAAAACAATCCCTTCCAAGAGAAGAGTGTCTGTGCTGTCCTTTAGTCATACAATTGGGAAAATCACCATTCTCTCTGCAGTGTTTAATGCATTACATTTGCACCTGAGCCATGTGTGTTACCACTGGTTCTCTATATACTTAAAAAGTCTATGACATTCCTATAGCTCAATATGTAATTGTTAATAATAAATACATATTTATTACAAATCGTTGATAGTTATTAATCATTATTGTCAACAGAACTGATTTCAGACATATTTTACATCAGTGACTTTTGGTTGCCCAATATGCGGCTTGTTGGTTCAGTCCATGCAATGGGGGATATCTGTATATCAACTCATAAGAATAAGACAAAACTGATCGAACAAAATCCAGTGAAAATGTCAGTGAAAAAACACTAAAGCTATCCTTATTATGATACGTGGAGATAACTGATCCACTGTTAAAAGACTACAGAGGAAGACAATAGACAAAATTACATGCCTGTTTTGCTGTTGGTAAGATGTTAATAAAGTCACAGATTAATATGGAATCAACATTCACACTGTCATATAATTGGCATTAGCAACAGAGGTAAGTCTATGCTATTATTTTACTTAATGTTGAAAAATTAATTTAATTTTTGGCATATTCAAAGGATGATACCTCCTTTGAAAATGATTTAAATATATGAATAGTTTCATTCCATGAAGTTCAAAGTATTGAACATTTAAGGCCATGACTAAAGACTACTCTAGTGGGTACACATGTGTATATTTAAAATTAAATTATTTGTTCAGATTTGTTTTCTAGTGATGTTGGTGGTATCATCATATTAAAGGTTTGGGAGCTTATATGCTGCATGATGGATCATACAAGAAAACCAGTGAGGTTCCTCCTTCTTCACACTGTTTAAAGGGTAAGAATTGCTATTTCTGCTACTGTTCTACATGTTATACAAAGAAAGGAATGGAGGAACAATCAAATGACAAACAATCCAAGTATGGTATATCCACTGGTTAAACCAGCAGTCTTAGCCCCATTGCATAAATTTCTTGATTCACCTGGCATTATCTATATTTTCAGATGATCTGTTTAGTTGTGATACCATTTGTCAGGATGGAACACAGGAAACAAGTGACAGGTATTTTATAATTTCAATAGTTTTTATTGTAAGAACCATATTTAAAGGGAATTACCACATAATTAACACAGTATGGTTAATATTACAATGTTCTCATCATCTAAGAACTGTGCCTTTTTGATTATGGTATAATAATGTTCATTTTATACATATGATTATGTATACATTTTGATCGAGAGTACAAACTTACATCACATGGAACTTTTTCTTCCCTAGTTCAAGTTTAAGATCCCTCCAAAATCTTTGTTGTTTTCCATCTTCCTCACTCCATTTTAGACAAACATTATTTCTCACCATAAGTCTGAGTTCCCCTGACATCTCTTTCTGTGGAATATTCTCCATCAGTATCACTATGAGAGTGTGTCGCTTGCTCTGGCTCAGCATATCAATGGCTGCATTCATTTCAAATTCGTTCCAGCCCTCTTTCATCCAACCCCGTGTGACCAAGAAGATTATGTGGCGACTACGATCCATGTGGGTCATGATTCCACTAAAGTATGATTCTTGGCCTGGGATAATGTTATCATCATGTATCAATGAGAAGTCCAGATCCCCTTCACACAGTTCTCGTGTCATAACCTGATTTACCCAGATTCTTTTCTCTGAATGATAACTAACAAATGCATCATAGATTTCTTCATCATTGGCAGGGATTACATGGTTATGATGCTTAGCTTTCCATACCATTCTTTTGTATTTAATATCTTTCCAGAAATATTTTAATAATGTCGCTATCAGAATCACTGTTATAAGAAAACAACTGCCAGAAATAGCACATAGTTTTATGAAAAAATCTTTGTTACATTCTAGCCATGTTATTTCAAAATGGAGAAGTTTTTCTTTTATTCTTTTATTTGGTGATTTGCAAAATTCATCATATTCAAGGTTGCGATAATTGTTGTATTTTAACCAATTTCTAAAAGGTCTGATTTCACAATTACATGCCAGCAAATTGTTATCTATTTTGACTTCAATGACGAAAGCATTAAAGATATTAGCAAAAGCATTGCCATCTATTGATTGAATTGCATTTTGAGATAGATCTATTAGTGCAATGTCCCCTTGATTCTTGAATAAATCACTTTGAACATGTGTTATTCTGTTTCGGTTTAAAAAAAGTTTGTTGATGTCTGAATTTTGAAACATGCATGTTGGCAGTGCTGTGAAAAAGTTGTCTTGCAAATACAAATGTGTAACTTTAATTCCCCAAAACAAGGAACACAGTTTTTCACTTGATAGTTGGAACATCAAATTTCCTGATAAATTTATATCTGTAAAAGTAAATGGTCTACCACTTTTTCCTAGTAAATCCAAAACCTGTGAATAGTAATTTGGAATAAAAACAAATCCCATGTTTGCTAAACTTAATGATTTCAACTTTGTTAGATTGCCAAAAAGAAAAAATACTCTATGGGTATTTATTTTTGATATTTCAAGAACTATAAGATCCATTTCATTAAGATCAATAATCGCAAGTTGCTTGTAATAGACCTCTGGCATATCTGCAATAATCATTTGGTTAAGTTTTTTTAGTGGTTTTAATGTAAAGTGTGATATATACATAAAGTTAGATATCCTCAATGCAATTAAAGAGTCAACATGCTCAAATGCATCCCCCTCGAATGTCTCGATTGTGTTATCTCCTATTTGGAGTTCTGCCAAGCTTGAATTTTGAAGAGGTTGTAGTATGCTCGCTGTGAAACGCTCAATTACGATACCACATCCATTTAGGAGTAAACTGCGTACTGTTTTATTTTGTAGACTTCTCAACAATGTTTGAAAGTTATAATTACGAAAGTTTGTGTTCCCATCAAAGTCTAAATTTCTTACATTGACATCCTGAAATATATTTTGTTCAATATACTTTATATCATTGTCCTCAAGATGCAGTGACAACATAGATGCATTTTTATATGGCAGTATATCATTTTTTGATATCTCTTTGATTGTGTTTCCCCCCAGGCGAACTGTCAGATAATTCAATTGAGGGAGAACTCCCTCAAATTTGATTTTTGATATCTTATTGTTAACCAGATAAAGTTGTCGCAAGCTGGGAAGGTGTGAAAGTATAAATGCTGGGATTTTTGTTAAGCCTATATTTTCCAAATATAGACTCTCAACATTTTTAAGATATCGGAATGTTTCATGATATTTCACAAGACTTTCATGATGTGCCACCAAGGTTTGTAACTTTGGGATTGGTCGAAATGTATCATTTTCCAACTTTATAATTTTCCCTAAAGTTAAGGTTTTTAACTTTGGTATATGACTTAGCTTAGCGTGGTTCAGACAACACAAAACCAGGGCTGTTTTTGTGCACGTCACTGATCACTAGTTGATACAAGTCTTTTAATCCATTAAATCCATTTCTCTCCAGAACTGTAATATTACATTCTGTCATATTCAATATTCCCAACTTTGGTAAATGTTGAAAAGATCCATTTGAAATAGTCCCGAAATTGTACTCTGATAATTCAAGTTGTATTACTGTGTTTGGTATACACTGTAGGAGTTCACTTATCTTGACATACATTTTATCTGTTGAATAACATTCACATGATGTAACTTTGCCTGGTTCACCATAATGATATTTGCATCTTCCTGGACAATTTCCGCTATTTGTACATGTGCAGCTTATAAACGACACTATAATTATGTATACCAGTTTCATCTTGATGCTGATTTATTACTGTCAGTGTTATACCTATACATTTCTTTATATGTCCATTTGCAGGTGCATTTGTTATTTATTCAAGTAAAGTTCAAGTGCTATTCTAATGTCAAAATGCTCATATAAATGTCAAAGTAAATGTTTTAATTATTGTTTAAAATAAGAACTTGAGTCGGGGAAGGTGTCAGGTACTCCTCATGTTTACCTGCACCAGCAGGAAGATATTGAGATTATAAACCAAACAGTTGCTTATCAGTTTTCCTTCTTATTTTCAATTTAATTATTCTTCCTTGTATGTTTTATCACAACAGAATACGGAAATAGTTTTATGTCCATCATTGTTAGATTGGGTTGGTTTCGTGGTTTTTCTGTTAGCTACAGAATTTACAACTGAATTGCCAAAATGAATAGGCGCAGTGCATGGCAAAATAGGTTAGGTCTTCTAGTATTTTTTTTGAACTGATACGCTTCTAAGATATGAGATCTATCAAAAAAGGCACAACATCACTAACGTGTAAAAGTCAATGTTTTTGCTATAAATCAGGCAACAATGGTCTACACGACCTGTAATAAATAGGTATAAGGGACATTATTATCACAACACTAATGACATTGCTCACTTTTTAAAGTTAGTTTCCATGCGTTATACAAAAAATAATAGAAATAAATTAATATTGGATGGAGCGGAAAGTTGTATATCTTTACGATGGAACAGATTCACAAGAACTGGTGTATTTGAAAAAAATAAACTCAGTACCCCAGTAAGAAACTGGATATTATATCTCTGGAGAATGAAAAATGGGAAAATTTGGAGTTATAAGAATAAATTCAAGTAGCATGTCTTATCATGTCTTATATACACATTACTCCCCCCTCAATCCACTCCCCCCCCCCTCCATCCAATATTAATTTATAATGATTATTTTTTGTATAAAGCATGGAAACTAGCTTTAAAAAGTGAGCAATGTCATTAGTATTATGATAATAATGTCCCTTATACCTATTTATTACAGGTCGTGTAGACCATTGTTGCCTGATTTATAGCAAAAACATTGACTTTTGCACGTTGGTGATGATGCACCTTTTTTAATAGATCTCATATCTTAGAAGGGTATCAGTTCAAAAAAAATACTAGAAGACCTAACATATTTTGCCATGCACTGCGCCTATTCATTTTGGCAATTCACTTGTAAATTTTCTCTTGTACAAATTTGTTGAGTTTTCTTGCAGAAAGCGCCTACCATCCATCCATTTTGTATGATCACCAGGCGTGGTCATGTCAGTCTTTTTCTTTATAGTATGATATACAGCCATGGCATAGATGAATTGTTTAAAATAGTCCTTTCCAGAATTTAAAAATGTAAAAAATAATTTGTTGAAATCGGAAACCCACTTCCTCAGATGTTAATGTTATTTTCTGTTTTTAAAGTGACCCCAAAACTATTTAATTACTTAGTCACCACAGTAGACTATATTATATAGTTCATTGCAGTTACATCATGTAGATACAAAAAGCTCTATATCTTAAGAAGAGATAAGACAGTCAGTGGTATTGTACAAGTGCTTTTGTCGATTCCATAAATCTGTGCCCCTAGATTTCCCATTATTGAATAATCATGAAGAAGATGGTATTTATACTTGTCACATTAGTCCTATTATATCTTATTTATTGGTGTTTTTATCTCACAGAACTGTTGTAGTTACCATAACTAGTGACAGCTTATTGTATTAATTTTCCATTTGTAAGATTGCTCCACGTCTTCCTGTTCAGAGGAATTGACATTTTTGAATTGTATGCAGATCAGAGTAAAATCATTGTTGATTCCGTTACACTTAACTTTTTATATGCCATATAACATGTATATGTAAGGGATTCACAATTTCTGAATGTTCATTGTTGCAATATCACACTGAGAAATAAAGGACACTAGAAATAACACAAACTCATATTAAACTTCTATGGTACCTGATCTATCTTTAAAACATAAATGTTGAAGAAATCCATCAAAGTACTCACATTAATGCAAAAGTCAGTAAATCAACAGTGATAACCATCTTTCAATTTGAGTTATTAACAATTATTTCTACATGTTGAAATGTATTGATAAAATATCTGATCTGTCACTAGATTTGCATGTACTTTAATTGATAACTACTACACAAAATCTCCTTGAATAAACGAGTAATATCAAAAGTGCAAAGTGCAAAGATCTTGCTATTTGTGGATGGGAACATTTTTTTATTTGCTTGTCTGAGGCTGTATTATACCCTACAAGGTAATTAGGTACCACATTTGCAAAATGAACCTATAACCAGATTTAATCTGCACCTTTTGTTGAAACGCAATCCCTGGTCATCAACATTGACGAAAATATTGATTGCTCGGATGTTCACTGAATATGCAACTTTTGGAAGATTTTGTGGTTCAGAATATTATGTGACTTCAAAATTAGAACAATTAAAATAATGTTGAGTTACTCCTGTTGAATATCAGAAGACCAGTGGTCAAGTGGTATTATCCTCAGGATGCAGTAGGTCGAGGGTTCAATTTCCAATTTTTTTTAAAATTTGTGGTTGTGCTTTGATATTACTTTGAATAAACAGTTTATAACCATGTGGACTAAATACTAAAACATCTTGTCAGTTGTATGAAAATGTAAGAATCATGTCCAAATATTGCATTTTAGGAAAGAAATAGAATAAATTTATGACAAATATATTACTTCATTCCTGCTCAATATGTTGCTAATTTTTATTTTCTTTGCAGAGAATCCCGGAGGTGATACTGAAGTGATTGTTCAATAATGCCTAAGCGGTAGGCTAGCGCTCAAAAATGATTGCTGTTCAAGAAATTAGTGTGTGAGAAATTTGAAGCTGCAAAATCAGTTATTCAAATGATATAAGTAGGTTAGCTTTTTATTTTACCTTACACTGTATGATGTTGTATTTATTTTGACAGACAGACAGCCTAATCTTTCTTGTCTGTATTTTTCCTGAGAAACAATGTTTTTGTATGAAAGAAATGAAAATCTACATTGATTGGGTATTCTACATGTTGGGTAAAATATTAAGGTGGCTATTTTTATCATAAATCTTTTGTAGAAACTCTCATTTATATCTTCAAAGTTTACAAGGATAAATTGATAGAAATTATAGACCTGAATTGTTTTTTGGCATGGATTGTGCAATTTTGATTTTTTTTACCCAGTCATCTAGTCTGCAAATTTCTGGATGAACTGTTTAATTGATCCAAAACTCAAATACCAGTTGAAGTATTTGGTTCAAATTTTATAGGCTGGTGACATAGGACAATGTTTCAAGATGGCAACTAAATTCTTAACGGCCATCATTTTTCATGAAAACTGTAACTTTTGATGACCAAACACAAATTATCAGTTAGGTCAAATTTTTATACGCTGATGTCTTTTGAACATAAGGGTCTCTGCTTGAGGAGGAATTTCTAGGCTGCTCAAATTGATCATTAGTTTATAATAATAAAAAGGGAAATTCTTGTCAACTCACAAGCCTCACAAGCATTGGTATACATATAATATGCTGATGGCTCAAGGGCATTATTCATCTGTTTTAGTTTTTTGTCTGGAGGCAGGTCTGCTGATCTGATGAGAATTTTTTGCAATTTTGAAAAGAAAACTACTCAATTTTCAAGTTATTTATACATTCTAAAGAAAAATTAACACTCAATTATTAATCTATGGTAAACTAAAGCACCTTTTGTGCAAAATGAAAGATTTGGACCATGTTTGGAATGAATTATGTTCATCTTAAAAAGCACATGGTCATCAAAATTGTAGAAAGTGCAGTCTGAACTTAAACGCCCATTTTAAGATTTGGTCCAAATTTTACAGGCTTATGTATTATCAGTGGATTGATTTGGTTCACCTTTTTATGCTGATGTCTTATGAATTAGGAACACTGCTTAAAAAGCATGGGATTTGATTTAACTTTTTTAGGCTAATAGCATTGCAAGGAATAGCATTGCAAGGAATAGCATTGCAAGGAAATGAATTTCCAATCAGGCCTAAGGCTGTTCAATTCAAAATGGCTGCCTCTTTTTCATAAAGAATATAGTCTTATTACTAGTTGTCAGACTCAGTTGAGAATTAAGGTATACTGATGCCATTTTTGCGTAGAATTCTGCCCATGGAGGTTAAAGATGGCTGCTGAATTCAAAATGGCCACCAATTCTCATAAGTGAAACTAATCTAATTTTTTCTAAATTTAATAGGACCTCTACTCAATAAAGAATCTGTTATAAAGTGTTCATTTATAGGCATATTCTTTTCCAGAAGGAGACAAAACTGCCTTTATTTGTTCCTCCAGAGAGTTGCCGTTTTTAAAGTTGGTAATACTAATACCTAATATTATAAGAAAGGTCAAAGTACTTGATTATTATCATGCTATCAGAATTAAAAAAATATATTGCCAAGAGACAATCTTGCATTGATAATCAGACAAGAAAATGCATTTTAGTTGCCCAGAGATAGATTAGAGAAAACTGTAGCAACTGATAACAGCAATGATTATATTGAAACAGCAAGAGGTACACAAAGTATGTATTACTTCTATAAGTGTGATAATGCATTTACATATTAATTTTCCAGTTCCGCACCTCCTTGCACAGTCAGCAAAATGGGTGAGTATATTTTATCTATTCTTTCACAAGGTAAAGGCATAAATAGTATTCTTCTGTGTACCTGCTAACTTAATCAGTGAATTGGTTAATATTTATAGAATTTTATGTGGTCCTGTTCTTTGCAGATGGTTCTTTCCTCGTCATTTTAGTATCCCATTGAACGAAGTTCGGGGGGATATAGTGAACGGCTCCATCAGTCCATCCCTCCGGACAATAACTAAATAAGTTATCATTGCAACAAGAATAACATTAAACAAACAAATGAGAAATTCCCATTGGATTATTGATGTGTAGATTAACGTTATCGACATCAACCCAGATTGATAAGCTTAGATTGGGAAGTTGTCCTGGGTTATGATGTGTTTGTTTACCATGACAAATATTACCCTGACCAATCAAATGGCTGAGTGAAGAGTTTTCATATGGTTGATTATAAATGTATGATCTATATTCTGCCCAGATTTTACGAAGATCTGACCAATACTAGAAATGCCAAACCAATTTACCTCATTTTTGGGACACCCTGTGTACATATATGCCCCATGTAAGCATAAGTTCTCTGCTTGAAAGCCGATTTTCAAAATGGCCACCAGTTTCAAAATGGCAGCCATTTTAGTGTCAATTTTACAGTATTTTAGGTACAACATGTTAAACTGTAATATCGATGTTTTAAATGCAAAAAATACATATAGGATAGATTAAGTTGATAATGTAATTATTCAAAAAATATCATGGTCATTGGGAGAATGGAAGAGGGTTTAATGGAAGGAAGAATCTCTGTCTTTTGTGGTTTTTAATGGGAAGTCATATCTACTTCTAAAAATGAATGTATTATGTCACAAATTGAATTCTGGGAATATCGTCCAAGGGATAAAGGAGGTATACAACATTTCATTGTAGTTTTAATTCCCTTAAATTCATACTCCTTTTACGTCGTACACTTTCAAAGAAAAATTAGTATCCCTCGAATTCTTTCATTGATTTGGGAAACTGAACTGTCTGGATGATTTGTAAAAATTGTATTGTTAATCTTATCAATATTTTAAGATGATAGAGCTAAAATTGTAGAAACTATGATGATTTTCGTGAAAAATTATCATTGTTTTTCAAGAAACTGTTGTGCTTCCTAGAAGGTTTAAGAAGTTTTAGACCATCTTCAGACAAAATGTTGAGATGTAGTGATGCTAGAGGTATATCTGCATGGTACAGTATGGTCAATGTTTCTATGAAAGGGAAAGGACCATATTCTGTCAAAACATCGAAATAAATGAGTAGCTTACAAATCTCACGCGGAAAATACTTGGTATAACGTCGTAAACTTCCGGTGCTATGACGTATAAGAGAATGGGGTGTAATATATTCACCCTACACATAGAGCGCGCGTAATATTACTACGCTGGCTGCATTTGAAGAGACTATCTGGCTATTTCAAACATGGCTGAAGAGAGGTCAGTTTTCTTTCCAACATTTTGACTGTTTTTCAAGCTGTATACTAGCGATTATTGAATTTCTTAAAAGAATGATATTCAAAGTACCTATGTTTGACAGCTTACTATAAAACGCCGACCTATTGGCATGTGCTGCTGAGATAAAAACAAATTCCAAAAAACGCCAAATTATTTCCATTTATTTCTTCCTCTCGATCAACTGCTAAGCTACCAATTATCCAGGTAAGCTGACAATTGAACGATGATGACCCCATCCACCATCTATGCATGTAATTAGATCCTATAATAGCCCAAATTTGTTATCGTACAAGTCCTAACTAGAACTCTGCCGAACATTTAGGAGAGGACTACGGCGGGTGAGTATTTTATGATTCCAATGCATACTTAAATGTTTTCATTTTATTTCAGACTAGGATTCGAATGTTACTATTGCAACACAAAAAGGAGATGTAAGAAATTTACAGATATGATTCATCACCTACTTGAAATAATAATTAATGAAAATAAAATGAAATGCTTGAAATAATAATTAATGAAAATAAAATGAAATGTTCAAAAATTCAAAATTCAGCCCCAATGAAATGTCAATCTGATTTAATAACACATGAAATTCAATACAATGAAATGATGACAACTGAAATTGAATGCAGCAAATCCTCCAATGAAATGGACACTGTCCAGATTCAAGATGAAACAACTGATTTTGATTATTCATTAATGGGCGAAGATAATGAAATGATAGTCACTGAAGAAATGATATGTGAAATGAAAAAAATGATTCCTGTTGTTGCTGAAAAACTCTCAAAAGATGAGTCAGTTGGAACATTCAGGACATTTTTGGAGCTGGTATCTAAGGATAAATTCCCCCTACAGCCCTAGAAAACATTGCCTTCAAAACATTTCTCAACGTAGTTGAATGATTTGGATCCGACACTATTCAGCAGTTTCGATACAAAAACCAAGAGACCATTTCCTTTTGGAGAGTGGGATATCGGTTATTCAAGGGCAAGTTCCTTCGCTATTCATTTTCAGCTGTATGAACGTATTGAATTCTCCATCAGTCCGTCCGTCCAGCTTGAAAGAAGCAGCAGATTATTTTAAGTGACATCCGTCTGTCCGTCCATCCTTCCATCGTCAACAGTTGTGGCACTAAGAGACAAATGCAATATCCATTCATATTTTGTTATGCACACAAGTGACATACCCTATACTGTACATGTATGTATATCCAGGATATCTCTTTGGAAATAAGTCACTTAAGGTCATGGCCAAAGTAAAGAGTTACACTTGAAAAAAGGTCATTATTGTTTAAAATGTTAATTACCTGTGCAAAATTGTTTACAGAGTTCGACACTTGTATGCACATAACCCTACTATCACACCAAACTAGTTCTCACTACGTTCTCGAAAACGGGCTTCAACTGTGTACGAACGGACTGGACCTACTAAGAACCGTTTGGGATCTATTTACAAACTTCATCGAACGTACTCGAACGGGTAGGTCCTCTAGAACTCAGACAATGCTCAAAATGTTCCCGTGGTCGTCACGTTCTACAATTAGAACGAGTGAAAACGTACTAACGACGAGCTGGACGTACTACGAACGAAACCGTCGTACTTCAATCCTACTAGGGACGTTTTAACAACGAGTTGAACTGTCTGAGGACGTGTTTAGAACGAGGTAGAACTAATTGCAAACGGGTTTAAACTGATTAAGAACGTATTTAACACTGCTTATGAACGAGTTAGCAAAAATATAGCTATCACACCAAACAAGTTGCCACTGCGTTCTCCAAAACTGGTTTTAAACTGTGTGCGAACGGAATGAACGTAGCTGCAACTTTCTAAGGTCTATTTACGAACTTTATGAACGTTCTCAGACGGGAATGTGATTTTAGAATTTTGAATCGATTCAAAATTCGATGGCGACCATGCCGTTCTGTAATCAGGTCATGTTGACCTTCTAGATTAAGGGACGCGTTCTACTACGTCGCACACCGACGAGGTGCGACCTGAACGAACTGCGAACGAGATGGACGTATTGAAGACTGTTTAAGAACGAAGAAGCTAATTATTTCAGACATATTTCCCGACCACAGCCAGATTGAGCCCGTTTTACGACGTTTACGTAGGACTGGCAAGAACGGGTAAGAACTAGTTTGGTGTGATAGGGGGGTAAGTAACTTTCTTTGGATAGGCCTACATTGCAACCAAATATGTATTGGTAAAATTGCACGACATATCAAACACTGCTCAAAATCAAATGCTACCCTCCCAGGTCTATCCTTGTATAAAAGTTCGAAGTTTTATAACAATTTGATATTAGTTATTCCACAGTCTATGTGCTTTTGATACACATGAGCACTGGATCTGTGGTCGATATTTGAGAAGTCTATCGCATCTTTAATTTCAAGTTGATATAGTGTTATCCCAAGAGGTTGATATTGACACGCGTAGTCCTCTCATCCAAAAATTTGATCTCGGGATTTCAAATGAAGTTTCCTCAGGAAAAATAATGTTAAAATTCTTCAAAATAACATCAGTGATGCAAAATATGTTAGGAATGTATATACTACTCTCATAATACTTCAGTTACCGTGATAATATGAGGATATTGAGATTCTTTAGTGGAAACTTCGCGGTAACTTTCTGAATTATCAACTTTACATCGTATTTTATTCATTATGTAGGCATACTTTCCTATATTTTTGTCATATTTCTTCAATTAAGTGTATACTATATGGTTTGCCACCCATATAAGATACATTAATATCTTAAATAAGTCAGTAGGTGCTTCCAAAAAGTAAACCATGAGAAAGAAGTTGAGAAATAGTCAGATAGTCTCTTCAAATGCAGCCAGCGTAGTAATTTGCTCGCGCTCTATGTGTAGGGTGATATTAGAGAGATTTCGCACATAAGTGAAAGTACAACTTATACGTATACGTATAGTTTAAAGGGTCATGTCGAACTATTATATTTACTAAAATCAATTTTAAATTGTACTTAATGGAACATAACTATTCCCGTTATAGAAAAGCTCCATCAACTAGAGACTGTGAATGCACTGTCATCTGCACGTGTAGATTATGCACATTATAATTACATGCTTGCTTCCGTGTCCTTGTTGTTGTAGTGTATTATAAACACGATCCTTTAAAGTGAGTCATGATTCTTTAAAGTGAGTCATTACATAAACAAGTTGATTATTTCAATGTTTTCATGATCAGTATAAGTTCAATGAACTTACAAAACGGAATATTTACGTATATGATAACGTATACAGTTGGATCTCCGTATTAAGATTTGCCTACATGTGTGTGGAACAATTGACCGCAAGCATTTTTTGAAATTAATTGGCTGAGTGGGAACAGTATCCAATCAAATACTTTAACCATCAATTTGAAACACCAATCAAACCAGTAGGTTCTAGCAATTCCTGGAAACGACGCATTCAGTAGCTCAACATATGACATACAGGGTGTTTCATAACGAGCATCTCCAAAAGTCAATTTGAGAAGAGATGGTTCTATAACATATGTACTATATATGAGCCTATTTTATTTTAGACAAACACATGTGGATCAACTAAACATGCTACAATTCAAGAAAGTACAAATGGCATCCCTTTGACCTGTATTTATTACAGTCCGAGAAGATCTTTCCTGACGAAAAGCCCACATTATGAAACACCTTGTACGTTTACCTAAGTATAAGTATACGTTATAAGTTTCGTTAGTACTTTCACTAGGTGCGAAATCTCTCTATTAGCAAAGCAACATATTTTATGTTGCAAAAAATCTTGTTTCATTGATGATATAAAATCATGCAATTCTATATACCTTGTATGCAAGTGTAAACACAATACTATTATATATAAAAGATGGCAGGATTGGAACAAATTATCCATCAGTGTTTAATCCTAATTTCTACAAGATTGAACCTGACATCTTTCACAAATGTGTAGATAGAATAATGTATTGTCATCCTTGTAATATATTTTGCACATATAATCACCAATATGTTCTTTATAAATCCGGTTAATGAAAAAGATGTTGCATGAATTCATTCCTCTATGAAGCAAACATTGTCAAATACAAAATAATCTAGCCTGCAGTTTTGATAAGATAAAATTGCATGTTTTATCATCGTTAAAACAATTTTTGTATTCAGTAACTAATTTGATGTTTAAAAGAATATGAGCCATATTCAAGTAGAAATATTACCAAGTAGAGAAATCTGACCTTTATAAGGAGATATGGTACTTGTTTATGGCTTAAAAATAGTTTAGCTTGCTGTTTAGAAGAATGCCAATTTATGATTCATAGATCATTGACCCAATGAACAAAGTTCAGTCAGGATATTCTGAATCGGAACATCCATCTGTCTGTCCGGAAGAAAACTCAAATACTATACTCTCGCAATAATTTCCTGATCTTTTCAAAATAAGACTATATTATACTCAAATCGAAGGAATTTTAGAGTAAATCACAATCTCTGATTCGTGCCTCAGAAAATTCAAAATGGCTACCTAAAGCCGGAATAGCTATAATTTAGAGACCTCTTCAAAGATCTCTTATTATCTGCAAATCATGGGTATAGAAGATGGTGGATATTACATTGTGACATATACAAAGGAGTGGTATCGATATGGAGAACTTTTTGAACACACGTTTCTCTTAAACCAGTCATAAAAAATCTAAAAATTTAAACATCGTCAATTTAGTGGTCATCTTTTGAATGGTAACAATATAATTTGAAATATATATATATACTTTTATCTATATTGTTTTAGAAAACATATCAAACACTTGTTTTGTTCTTGGTATCATGTTTCCAGAGTGAAATGAAACATCTCTCTGAACCTCATTGGAACAAAATGACATAAACACAACATAATATTATACATCTCTCAATAGTGTAATTGTACAAAGGAAATTTTGGTTGATTTTAAAAAAGGATCTTGTTAATGAAATAAAAGGTTTATCTTGATTTTTATCTATTTTTGGCAGATTTTGTTTAAAAGTTTTTGAATGTTTTTTAAAATCAACCAAAAATTCCTTTGTATAACTATAATATTGAGAGGTCTAAAAACATGTTGTATATGCTATTTTGTTCCAACAAGGTTTGGGAAGACATTTTATTTCATTCTTCAGAATTGGTAGAAAGGAGCAAAAACAATTGCACTAAAAAAACAAAAAATGTTAACAAAAACAGTTACATAAAATATTTCTAAATAATTTTTGCATTAAATTGTTGTCAATCAGTCAACATTACATAAAATACCGTGTTTTTTACAGAATGTTTTCAATGATTGGTTTAAGAGAAAACATTGTTGAATTCAGTTCTCCATATCGATACAACTCCTTAATGAATATTATGTTTACTGGGATTTGCTACTCACTGGTCAGTATCAAGGTAATGGCTGTAACCTTCACATCTAAGATGGCGGACAGTTAATGCCCAATTTTGACATTTTTAGTTTTCACCGAATTAAACTACTTTATTGTTGAATGTTGATGTTATGCTTTGATATTTGAACCAAATTTAAGGCTTATATGAAAAAGTCTAGTCTCGGTTTGGAGAATGACGTTTGAATATCCATAATTTAATTTTGGTGATATATTTATATTTTTCATAAAAATTATTAGTGCAGTACACTGATGAACGTCTTTCTCCAATTCGAGACTTGTGTTTTATTGAATCGGCCTACTGCAAATTATGACTGATTTGGACAATTTTGATATTTTCACATCTTATGAAATTAGTAGCCCAGGAGAAGGTTCTCCAAACCGAGACTTTGTTCAAATATTGTCTGTG